TTCAGCACCTTTATTAAAAAATACTCTCATTTCTCTCCCCATTGAATTGTCCTGTGCACCTCTGTTTAACATCCGCTGCTCAGGTTTTATTTCTGGAGTTTCTACTCTGTTCCACTGATCTGTATGGTCTATCTTCTTGCCAGTCCCACACTGCCCTGATTACTGAAGCTTGATCATAAATTTTTAAGGCAGATTGTGTAAGTTCTCCAATTTGCTGCTTCTTTTTCTAAATTATTTTGGCCACTCTAGGTCCTCTGAATTTCTGTATATATTTTAGGATTGGCTTACTATTTCCTTAAAAAAAAAAAAAAAAGCTTGCTGGAAATTCAGTACAGATCATGGTAAGTCTGTAGATCAATTTAGGGGAAATTTGCTATCATGACAATATTTTGTGCTCCTGTCCATGAGTATTCTAAATCTTTCCATTTATTTAGATTGCATTCAATCTCTCTCAATACTTTGTAGCTTTAAGTATATAGATTTGGCACTTGTTTTATTATTTTATTATTTTCAAAGCTATTGCAAATGGAATAGTTTTCTTAATATCATTTTCAGGTTCTTCTTTGCCAGTATACAGAAATATAATTGAGGTTTTTATATTAATTTTGTATCCTACCACCTTATTGAGCTGTCTTATTATTTCTACCAGATTTTTTTTTACAGATTTGTTAGAAGCATGTTTCCTGCAAATAAATACAGTTTCATTTTCAAATCTATATCTTTAATTTATATTGCTGTGTTGCACTGGCTGGAACTTGAATAAAATGTCAAATAGAAGTTTGAAGTGGACATTCTTGCTTTTGTCCCAATCTTAAGGGGAAAGTATTCAGAATGAATTAAGTGTGAATTAGTTGTAAGTCTCATTAGGTGCCCTTTATCAGATTAAAAGTGTCCCCATGCCCCAGGTTGTGCAATTGTTTTTGTCATATATAGATGTGTTATCATGTCAAATGGTTTTTTCTGATTGACCAATGTGCTCATATGTTTAATGTTCTTTGTTTTATTAATTTGGTGATTACATTAATTTATTTCCAGATGTTAAACCAACCTTGCATTCCTGGAATAAACCTCACTCAGTCATGGTGTAATAATACTGTTTCTCTGTAACTACATTTGGTCTGCTAATATTTTGTTAATGATATTTGCCTCTGTATTCATGAATGATATCAGATCATGTATTCTTCTTTGGGATGGCCTTGTCTGGGGTTGGTGTCATGCACTGACTCCACAGAGTGAGGTGGGAAATGTGACTTCCTTCTCTATTCCTGAGAGGATGTGCATGACTGCTGCTACTTTCTTTAAAATATCAGGTAGAATTTATCAATGAAACCATCAGGACCTGGGATTTTTGTGAGAAATTTAATTAGTGGTTGTCTTTGTTTGTTATATGTCTATTCAAATTTTCTATTTCTTTTTGAATCAGTTTTGGTAATTCATGTCAGCTAAGTAGAATGATCACTCCCTTTCTTAAGAAAGCATGTTTCGACCCTGGGACATTTTAAGTATAGAAAAATTTAAGAGACCCAAGCCTATAATGTTACCATTTTTGCATTAAAAAGTCATTGTGCATATTTGGTATTCTATATTCTTGAATATTGACAAGAATTTGTCCCGCTAGGTGTGGGACAGAACAAGGTGTCTTCTCTCAGAGTCTTAAATATCTATGTGCATTTAGGAGGTGAGCTTGGTCTGATTCCACCCTGGTGGACACCAAACAGAAACTACAAAGCTGTGTCTGGGAGCATCCTTAGCAGGATTTAACATAACGGTCAATGACAAGTGTCTGTCACAGTGGCAGGCACATGGTCAGGGCTGGTAGCAGGTGTCACATGGGACTGTCCCAAGCAAATTGGGACATAGGGTCACCCTGGTTTTAATGGCAGCAAAGAAAAGTCTATGGCCATCTGCTCATGGCTTGGAGTGAGGGTCGCCTTTTTGTGGCTGAGTCTGGGGTAGGGAGAGGTTGGAGGCATGATAGTTTCCACTAAATGTGTCTCCAAACTTCCAAGTTGCAAGCAAGGAAAATGACTTTGCTGACAATATCACTGTCACTAAAGGTGGGTACCAACCACTTTCTACTTCTAAATTATTGCAAGGAGCCCTCCCTTTGATGCCCTGTAGGGACTTTGGTGAGATGGAACTCTTCCCACAGAGAATATTAAAGTCACCTGTGATCTTCAAAAGTCAGCATAGTCACAAACCCTGCTTTAAAATAACCCACCAGAAAGAAGAAGATAACAGGAGAGGAAGAAAAGGGGAGTATGTCAGAGGGGGAGACGAACCATGAGAGATGATGGACTCTGAAAAACTGAGGGTTCTAGAGGGTAGGGGGGTGGGGGGATGGGTTAGCCTGGTGATGGGTATTGAGGAGGGCACGTTTTGCATGGTGCACTGGGTGTTATGAACAAACAATGAATCATGGAACACTGCATCAAAAACTAATGATGTAATATATGGTGATTAACATAACAATAAAAAAAATTAAAATAACCCACCAGAAACTCCCAGAAAGTGGGTCCAAAAGGAGGCAGCCCTGAGGCTTACTCCACGTCAGTTTCCTACAGTGAGTCCCTAATACTTTTTTAATGAAAAATTTCAAACATCCAGAAAAGTTGAAAGGATTGTACAAGAATGCCCAAAAACTCAACACCTAGGTTCTATCATTGTTAAAGTTTTGCAGTATCTTTTTTTTTTTTACCATATGATTATCCACCCATCATTTTATTTTCTGGTGCACCTCAAAGCCCGTTGAGTGCAGACATGAGTATCTTTCATTAAAGCACACATATATCGCTGTTTTAGTAAGCCCATTTTTGTACTGCATTTCTCTCTCTCTCTCTCTCTCTCACACACACACACACATACAATACAAGCCCCACAGTTAAGAATATTTTCTGTCCCTCACTCTTTCTTCTACTTCCCTCCCCCACTTTGTTCCCATATGAGTAGCACCCCCGAGGACCAAGTAAATGCTTCAGATCAAACAAACCATTCCAAGCATTTTCTGTCCTCGTTCCTGGGGGAGCCTGAGAACCTCCATCTGGTTCTCATCCTAGATTCAGCACACATGCCCTGTGGCTCTGAGCTCACCACTAGCATCAAGGAGCTCTCTGGGTGTACGGCAGTGGTGGAACAGAGACTTGGGCACTTCGGGAGTGGCTGGGACTCCTTGTGCTTCTCTCTGCAGGGATGGGGCAAAAGGAAGGAAAGACTCCTATCAGCAAAGAAGGGCCCTGTATTGGGCGGTAAGCTCAGAGAGCACTGCTGATGGCTGCCAAGCACCATTCACTCACCATTACTGTGATGCCCTTGCCTGCAGAATCTCAGAACCAACAGCTCCTGGGATGTTGTCTGTGTGCTCCTGGGTTGATTGCACAATGTGAGACACCCTGCAGGAGCTCCTCCGGGAAAGGTCTACACCCGCTTGCCAGTGGGAGACCACAGAGGCGCTCCTCCTGCTGTGGTGCCCCACCCTGGACCCTTCATGAGCCTGTGGGGGCAGCAGGCTTGGTTATAAGTGGACAAAGTCATGGGCCTTGGAGCCCAAGGCATTCCATGCTCATTTCTTGCAGCAGCTCTAGGAAATGAATGCAGGATTGTCCTTGACTATCCAAGTAGGTCCAGTGCAATCACACGAACCTTTAAAATTTGAGAAATGAGGAAGAGGAGGAAGTCCAAGAGATCTGAAGTATGAGAAGACTAGACCTACCACGACCGACTTAGAGACTGAGGGGCAATGGGGCAAGTGTGGGAAAGCAACAATTCTATCAGCATTCTGAATCAGCCTAGAAGCAGATTCTTTCCCATTACCTCTGGAAAGGAAAGCTGACCTGGTGAACCATGACTGTGCCTTGAGAGGTGCCAGGAAGGGACCCAGCTGCACTTGCCCAGGCATGTGACCCATGTACACTTCCAGATAATGAGTCTTGTTTCAAGTCACTAAATTTGTGGGAATCTGCCATGTAGCAATAGAAAATTGACACAAACCACTTGATGGACATTAACTGAGTGGAACACCTGTGAAATGAGGCAAGAGAAGTCTTTATACATATGATCCTACCTCCATAACAGCTAAACAGTCCAGAAGAAATACTCCCAATAAATTGGTCTGATAACCACTATTAGAGAGAAGCACTTGAGAAAGTCCTCCACAAAGTTCTCCCCTAAAATATACTGGTGATTAACATCATCTCACTCCAGGGTCACTTACTGAGTGAAGGTTTCCTCTTTGGATTGATATCCTGTCAAGTGATTTAAACATATTCCTTGATCTCTAGGAATTGAGACCCTGACATGCTATAGCAGGCTTTGCCTGAAATATAAGGCTATGAGTGTCCAGGCAGTGGACTCTCCGGCTATCAGGTTCCCCTAGGGACACTTGTGCAATAAAGAAAGGCCACTGTTCCCTACTGCCCAGTGCACCCAGAGGTTTGTACTACACTTCAACAACGGGCCTTTCAACAGCGAAAGTTAGCTCATTTTCCTGTTGGAGAAGACAACACTAGATTGAAAATAAATATTCCAGAAATGAGGAATATGGTTCCTCCCAACGACAGATTAACTTTTATTCATAAAAATCATGTTTCTTTTTAACAATGTGGATGGTATATGGAATTTTTTAAAAGGGCTTTTAAAGAGTTGCACACTATGATTATAATTTTATAAAAACAAAGCAGTGTGTGTATAACTCACAAAAGAATATTAAAAATGGAACTTGGAAGACACTACTCAGAGCGCCAGCAGTGGCTGCAGCGCGAGGTGCGGCGAGTGACCAGGTCCCCAGCCCTTGTCTGGCTCGCACACCTGGACTTCTTCAGCTCCCCAGCCCTGTGCTGCGTTGCACCGGACTTCTGCGTCTCCAGCCCCTGGGAGGCGTCCACCCCGGGACTTCTGTGGGTCCCCGGGCCCCTGCGCAACGCGCGCACCCCGACTTCTGCAGGTCCCCGGCCCGTGCGCTGCGTCTGCACCAACTGTCCGAAACCGGGTTTAGTCTTGGTTGTTTCTGGAGACGGCTCGCACCCAGCTGGACAGGGCGGGGGAATGTGCTCAGATTGTAACTAAAGGACCACAGCGAGGCGATGCTTCAAGTGAAACTCTAAAGGACCCGGGTTTTCACAGCAGTATCGCTACCCGGTGTCTAAGGAAACCAATGCAGAAGGAAGAAGCGGGTTATTTGGAGCGAACGCTCCTTTTCCGCTAGACCCCTGGTCGTGAGGGGCGCGGTCCCTGCTCCCCGCCCCACTCTGCCCGAACGTGAGAGCCGCCCGCACAGGTTTCCGCGCAGGCCCAACTTCCGCGCACACCTCGGGGCGTGCGGGGGCACTTCCGGCCCGCTCCCCCGGGGGAGACCGACTTCCGGGACGGTTCGGGGCGTGGAGCTGTTACCCCGTGGCCTCGTTCCCTCCCATGTCAAGGGAATGTTTAATGTAACTCCACTTCGAACTCTGCGTGTCTTGGAACTGCACGAAAGGATTTTAGAGTTTATATGGAAAAATAAAAACGTGAAAGAATTGTCAAGAGCAATGAAAAATTAAAAAATGCCAAGGGGGGGGTACCCTACCGGACGTTCAGGGAGGGCGCAACCGGAAGAGGGTCTCCCAGGGGAGCAGGGCGCACCATGCCCTTGGCGCTGGCTAGGGTAATAAAATGACCTTAACCCCTGTCTTCGTGAACACAAAAATAAATTCAGGATAGCTTGGAAACCAAAATGCAAAGAAAGTGAATAAAAATGATGAAAATATTAGCAAGGAATATGAAGGATATTTGTATAACCTTGGAGTAAAGAAGACTTTTTAAAGCAAGACTCTTAAGAGCGTATAGTATTTTTCAAACAGATAAAACAACTCTAGTAAGCTTACAAACTTACCTGTGTACAGATGAACTCTGGCCATCACCTGCTTGCTGTGGGCCATAAAAATTCATAAAGTGAAAAAAATTGTTGACAGTGGGCTTATTATACAAAATTCAAGTCAGTTTTAGTTAATTTTGAGTAATGGTACCTCAGAGTCTCCTGGGTCTTGGGAAATGATCTCGCTGGGAGATAGCACCCTTGTTAGAGGAATAACCGTGTTTTCACCTCTATTAGGTAAGAAACTGGAAGTGGGATTGCCAACTTAAATGGTAAGTATAGATTTTACTTTTTTAAAAAGATTTGATTTATTTATTTGACAGAGAGAGCACAATCAGGGTGAGTGACAGAGGGAGAGGGAGAAGCAGGCTCCCCTACAAGCAGGAAGCCCGATGAGGAGATCCATCCCAGGACCCTGGGATTGTGACCTGAGCCGAAGGCCAGTTTAACCAACTGAACCACCCAGGCATCCCTAGATTTTACTTTTCAAGAAAATGCCAAACTTCTTATCAAAGTGATCTAATTGGATCTCCCCAATAGCAATGTATGAGAGTTCTTTCTCTACAGCTTCACCAACACTTGTTACTGTTCATCCTTCTGATTACAGGCATTCCAGTGGGTGTGTAATGGTATCTTACTGTGGTTTTGTGTTTTCTTAATGGTAAATGATGCTGACCATCTTTTGTGTGCTCATTTGCCACTCATAGACCCTCCTTGGAGAATAGTTGGTTCAAATCTTTTGCCCATTTAAAAAATTAAAGCACTGGGTCATTTTCTTATAATTGAATTTTGAAAGTTCTTTATATATTCTGGACACAAGTGTATGATTTATAAGTATTTCATTTATGCCTGTGGCTTATATTTTCATTTTCTTAATGGTGACCTTTTGAAAAGAAAATGTTTTTAATTTTGATGAGAAGCAGCTGTGGAAATATGTGGGCCTAAAAGGAATCAGCTCTGCTGGCTTGATTTTATAGATAGTGAATGTAGAAACACACCAAACACACAGACATGCACTGCATTGTACACACCATGCACATACACATACTGCATCTCACACACACATGCACACACAGACAACCACACACACACCATGCACACACAACCACACACACATGCACTGAATCACACACATGCACACTCATATAGTCACACACACAAGCATGCACTGCATCACTCCAAACACATATACACAACCACACACATATGCACTGCATCACACAGACAAACATGCACTGCATCTCACACCAAACACACACACACAACCACACATGCACTGCATCTCACACCACGCAGACTCACATATACACACAGATGCAGAATCAGAGGACTGTGCCAACATAGAAACAAAGGATTGTGGTTGAGAAGTCCCAGCTGCAAGGTGACCCTGGGCATTGTCCCAGGCCTAGATAATATGAATGGTGAAGCAGAGGGACACCTGGTACCTGTGGGAATCCTATTTGGAAGGACAGCTCTTCCTTTCCTGCTGAAGCTTTTGGAGTCTGTTGCTGGCGGCCCTGTGTCATGTAATCAAATGTGCTCAACTTCTTGACCACTAGACAGGAGAGAGGAGGAAACAAGCAATTACACAAGTAAGCAGAGTGGCCTGCGTGCCGCAACCCAGCCTTCCAGAGCTCCCCCCAGGGTTCTGGGAGCTCCTTCCTAACCTGGAGCCCTGGGGGGCTGCTGATGGCCACTCCAGAGCCCATCTGGCCTGTAGGTAGCAGACAGCAGCTCCTCACACCCCCAAGGCCTGAGGCCCCCCCCACCCCAGGAACAGCTGTCCTGCCTGCCTCCCAGGCCTGCAAAGTCAACATGGACCTCAGCTGGGCTGAGCCAGTGGCTCCAGCATCGTGGGCAGCACCCCAGGTCACTGAAAGAGCATCTAAGACCTCTCGGTAGACAGAACTATTCATGAAATGGGTTCTGTGCCTGTTTCAGCCATGTGCTTCAGTGGAGGTGCCCAACTTCCCATTTCTCTTTTCCTAAAACCAACAAACATGAGGACAGATGGCTTCTAATTATTTCTGGAAAGTGAGGAGGCCACCCACAGAAGCCTATTTGCAGTTTGAGGAGCAGACGGAGGGGGGACCGCTCCACACACCCCCATGGAGCCCTCAGAGGCTTCTTCCCAGGTGGAGTGAGCTCCTGCAGAACGCAGCCCATCCCCTTCCTTGAGTGGTTTGTACAAGCACTTTTGTTTTTGTTTGCTTTGGCTTCTCTTTCTCAATTAACTCCACCTGGTTCTTACTACATTCTTCACACTCCCTCAGAATCTGTGTCTGTTGGAGGTTATCAACTTGCACTTGGTTACAGGCTAGTGAAAACACTCATTCTTTTGCATGGATTTGCACAGCTACCATCACCATCAGACAGTAAGCACAACTGTGTGTTTCCCAGAGCTCACACTCATCATCTGACAGTAACAAGAGGAGATGCAGTTGAGGAAGTGAGGCCAGAGCACAGCGTGCACTGAGTGAGGGTCCACCGTGTTCCCTCCAGCCTTACCAGGCTCTAACACAGGAGCTCAGGGCCACTGCCCTTTGGGATGCTCTCTCTCCCACTTGCGTGAAGGTGGCTTTCCCCACACCCCTGCTGCTGGCACTCCCACATACGTGTGTCTTCCCAGGAGATCTGGCCCTTACCAACGTTTCCACTCCTACTCATGTGCTGCAGACTCATCTGGGTGTCCTTTTCCCAAGCTTCGGAAGGAAGCATCCAGTGGCTGGCAGTTTCTGATGTGTCCCCCAACAGTCCCCCCACTTCAGGGCATTCATGTAGTCCCATCCCCTAGAACGCAGGCTGACCCCGGTGCCTTGCAGAAGAGGTGATGGGGCGTCACTTCCATGACTGGGCTACAAAAGCCTGGCTCTGTCTTGCCTCTCTTGTCTGCTCACCTGAAGCCAGCTGCCGCATTGTAAGATGCTAAGATGCTCTGTGTTGGAGCATTCGCGTGACAAGGAGCGGCAGGAGGCACTGGCCACCAACTCACAAGGAACTGAGGTCAGGAACTGACCTGCCATTGCCCTGGTGATGAGCCTAGAAGTGAATCCTCCCCTATCGGATGAGACCACAGCCCCTCATGGCACCTGATGGAAAAGCAGGGCCGGGGGACCCACAGAAACTGCCAGGCACTAACTGTTGTTTCAAGCAGCTGCATTTTAGGGTAATTTTACTCTAACAAGAGCTAATATCCCAACTTTGTTCTAGAAGTCTGTTCTTTGATGTCCAAATCCCCTATAAGTGACACCATGAGCCCTAAGCTCGGTGTGTTTCTCCCTTCCAGGGGTCTCCTGTGCATGCCCCCACAGTGACTATGGCACCACTACCCTCCCGGGTGCCTGAGTTGGGGCCCTTTGGTCCCTCTCCTCAGATCTCCAGGTAGCTGTGAGTCCTGTGGACTTGTTCTCCAGTCTTGTATCCGTCCATCCTGAGTGGCTGTGGCAGGCTTCTGGACCTGCCCAACTTGCTACCTGCTGGCTATCATGCACGCTGTGACTGGGACACTGTCCCCAAATGCACCCCTGTCCCCCTCGGCCAGTGTGCAGAAGCTTTAGGAAGGGCCTGGGCTGATCTGGCCCTGGCTCCACAGAGGACATGAGGACACTGCCTGCACAAACCAGCCCAGCAGCCACATAGAGCCTGCTGGTGCTGCCCACTCCCACACAAGGCCACAGGGAGGAAGGTACATTCAAGGAAGGGCTTCACCGGGTGCGGAAGTCCTGCCCCCACCCCCCGTGCCAGGGAACAGTGGAGCCTGCAGCGCCAATGCCGTGTGGACATCAGAAAACCAGGCTCCCTGTGGCGAGTGTGGTTAGCAGATACCCTGTCACTGGTTGACTGTTTCTCATTGTTAGGATTTGGTGCTTTTCTAAATCCCCTGTTCTTTTTTCAAGGTTCCCTGTTCCTGCCTCAGATTCTGCTCCTTTATCTCTGAACATTCTAACTTGCTCTGAAAACCCCTCTCATGGTCTTTGCCGGCCTCAGAACAGAACCAGCCCTGCTGTCCCTCGCGGGGTGTCTCTTCCCATCCTGTGATTTGTCTTTTGTGTATTTCTGGCAGGGGCCAGCTGAGCAGTCTTCTGCCTTGGGACATGTGTGAACACAAGGGGCTGGGACACATACTTAGGTAGAGGTGGAAGATAAGTAGGTGCCCAAGCAGCAGGAGGCTGATGACGTCCAACAGCAGCACGAACACCCCAATGCCCAGGACCACTGGGGTCTTTGTCTTTACAGGGAAAAGGGGGAGGAAGAGCATCCAAATGTTCTTGTTGGAGACCTCTGTGGAAGCAAGGGAGACATGCACCATGTCCAGCACCCGGGGCATGGCTGCACCTCTCCTCGGGAGACAGAGCTCGGTGGTGGGAGAAGGAAACCAGCCCAAGGGAGCTCTTCTTCCTTGCCCAGCTGTGTGCCCTGCCCTACCTAAGTGCCCTTGCAGCCCCCTGACAATCCCACTTTACAGGTCCCAGAACCTGGACCCCTCCTGGCCCCAACACCCACCCTGCCCGTCAGCCAGGTCCTCGCTGGTCCTTGCTGGGCCTTCCCCATTCTCAACCAGCCACTGTCACAGAGGACCAGAAGGCTGTAGCCAGCGCCTCAGGGCAATTCCAGAACATGGTCCTCTGTGCCCCAAACTTAAGTGTAAGAAAAGCACTGACGAATCTGCAGTCAGGCCCATGAGGTGGAATTCCGGCTAAAATGCCCTGACTCTAGTCCCTTATGTGACGCCCCAAAAGGTGGCTGCCAGGCCCACTGTGTTGTGTGGCCGCGTGCGTGCGTGGGGCTGGCTGGACCTCAGGGTGGTGGACAGCATGCTTGTCCCCTTAGCTGGTGATGTTTCGATGAATTCCCACCAATGACAGCAAAGTGTCCCAGGGAACTTGTAGTTAAGCAGCCCTGTGGAATCTTCTGGAACAGCAAACCCAGGAGATTGCCTCAGTCTTCAGGCTTTCACATATAGCTGGTCCCACTGTGGTTCCGGAGCCAGCAAGTCCCAGAGAGAGGCCAGGGTCACCCTGCCCTCTGTCCTCACAGCGCACAGCAGTGCCGGCCCAGCTAATGCCCGTGTCGCGAGGCCATCAGGAAATGCTCAGAAGTGCTGCTGTGGGCACTGGGGTGTGCTGAGGTCGCCGCTCACCAGGTGCAGTGTGTAGGGGCATTGAGAGGCCACGTGGTGAGGAGGGCCTATACCTGGAACCCTTAGTGCCCAGCCCTGACTGTTCTGGAGGCTGCCGGCTCCGGCTAGCCCTCTGGCTTAGGCTACATGTGGAGACTGTCAGGAAGGGTGGCAGGCAGAGGGCTCCAGCTGGCTGTGTGCACATCCTGCTGAGTGGGGCCTGGCCTCGATGAGACCCCTGCTGTTCCCTTTTACCGTAGAAATAACCCGGATCCCTTTCGGAGCAGTTGCAGGTCAGAAAGTCCATGCCACAGTGGTGCTGTGCAGGCCTCGCGGTGAAGGTGCACAGGGCATAGCCCCCCCCCAGGAAGAGGCTGCACGGCAGCAGGACCCCTCCAATGGCACAGGCTCTGGAGAAGGGAGATGTGGGGGCTCGGTCCTACCACCAGATCATCACTGGCTCTGCAGGCTGCTCACTTTCCTGGGAGGAGGGCACTGTCCACACGTGCTTTGGAGCCCGATGCTGGGCCTTGCAGAGATGTTGGAGCCTGAGCAGAGTGCGGGTCCCTGGAACATTCTGAGCTAAGCGACAAGGTCCTCTGTTTTCCTGCTCTATGTGTTGGGCCATGATGTGCTCTGGAGAGAGGCCTGGGCTGAGAAAGGCAGCTGAGGTCCCTGGGCACTCAGGACAGACACAGGAGGCGGTCCCCTGGGGGTCCTCCCTGCATCAGTGTCTGGGGCTGCTGTGACCAATGGCCACAGACTGGGCAGTTTAAACAAGAGATGGAGCCTGGAAGTCAGGGTGTTGCAGGGCCCAGCTCCCTGCATGGCTGTAGGGGAGGATCTGTCCTGAATCTTCCGGGTCCTGGGGCTCCAGGCACCCCTGGGCTGTGGCCGTGTCCCTCCAGTCTCTTATAAAGATATTCTCAACGGACCCAGCACCCCTCCACACACACTCCCGGGTAACCTATGGTCATTTCAAGATCCTTAATCACATCTATAAAGACCCTTTCCCCAAATAAGGTCACAGTCACAGGTCCGGGGATAAGATCATGGACATAACTTTGAGGCCACATCCAATCCCACATCTGTTAAGGCCAGGCTCCTGCACCCACTTAGCAGAGGCCTGCAGCCACACATCACCCGGAACCTGTCCCCATCTAGACCCGCTGCAGGGTGATGGGCAGAGGGCGCCCCTCCCACGCCTGGCACTACCTGGGAGCACGGCCTCTGAGCAGCCAGCACCACGGGCCCTGAACCTGCCTCTGCCCAGCCATGCCGCTCACCCAGCCGGGGGCAGGCCGGGCTGATGCCCCCCAGAAGGAAGGCTTTACCACAGAGGCGGCTGGAGGGACAGGCTAACACTTGCGAGTGACCCAAGAGGAAGCAGGACCACAGAGGAGCCACGTGTACTTTCGTAGTAGGGGTGCGTGCGGAGCTCCTCCGGGTTGATGAAGAACTGGATGAAGATGTAGAGCAGGATGACAATCAGGCAGAGCAGGCCAGCCGAGGCGGAGGCCACGGAGAAGAAGAAGTACCTGCGGGAGAGGCAGAGGCAAACCAGGTTCAGGGCCAGCTGACCCACAGCCCTGGAAGGGCGGCAACCCGCGCGGGGTGTCCCCGGCCCCAAACCCAAGACCCAGCCTTCTTCCCGTCTCCTGTCCCTCGAGTGGAGCTCTCCACGGATGCTGCTGGCTCGCGGCCGTCCTGATGGCACCTCCGTTTTCTGTGCCTCGTGGCTTACAGACGTGCTCCCCTTCAACCCCCACGAGGGGTGAGGAGGGGCCACCCTGGCTCACAGGGAAGGACACAGAGGCTCCGGGCCGTGTGGGGTGGGCGGGCACAGGATCCCCCACATCCGGGCCGCTTCTCACCGGGGCCTCCCGCCCGGTCACACAATTGTGGACAATGAGCCCTTGTGGCTCTTAGCCTGGAGTTGGGGTCGTGACCGCTGCCACTGAACAGAGTCGGATGGTTTTGTTTTTTTTTAATTAATTTCACTCTTTTTGTTGTTCTGCTTGTACCTGAACTATGGCGTAACGGGTTTGCTACTCCAAAAGCTGGTAGAGCCAGTAACCCCAGTATTATCTGCAGATCATTTGAGGTACTTTTTACACTTGAAAGCATTTTCTTGTATTCTACCGTTTGCTCTGAGTGGCCAAGGAAAACACATTTGTCTCCTCATTCAGAAGAACTTCGGGGCATGCGTGCAGCAGTGTAGACGGGAGGGAAAGTGGGCAAGACAGTTCCAGCTCAAAGCCTAGTCCCTCTGGAAGAACACTTGGCGGTTCCTCCTCATGGTGGAGGTCCCGGTGCTGTCCTTCCTTCAAGGGCACTGAAGCCAGGGTGCGTCGGGAGGCCAGAGGGCACCATGACAGGTGCCTGGCTGGGTACAGCTCATGACCCACAGCTCAGGGGGGTCATCTCCACACACCCTCCCTGGGGCCAGGCCCACTTTTGGGCACAATTGACATCTTGTGCTTTGGCATTAGACCAAAATCACTCCTGCCCCCTTGCCTGGCTCAGAAGACCCAGAGAATGATCCATCCATGCAGAAAATAAATTATGGTCAGCAACTCTTGGAATATGCTCCCACGGCACGGTCTTCCTCCAGGCTTTCTGCTGTTGTGACATTGAAGGAAACCACTCCGTCAACATTTTCAGTCTCAACGTGTTTTCTTCAGCTGGAATTCAGTTGATTCCATGATGCTTTCCCAGAACTTCTTGAGGGTTCTTTACACACAACTTTAGGTGGAGAGCTAAAATGTGAGCATTCCCAAAAGGTTCGGTGCATGTGGAGCACAGCCCTGGAGTCCTGGGGAGCTGCTGGCTCGAGGGCCATTGCATCGTGGCCCCTCACTAAGCCCCCCGAGATGCATCTCCTGTGCAATCCTAGGCAGGCCCAGCCTCCTGTGTGTCCCCGAGCTGCAGGGGGCACAGGCCTGGCCCCACACCTGGCTCTGGTCCCCAGGGAGCCCCTCCAGGCTGGAAGCCCCTCGGCTGTCCTGCCCTGCTGTCACCTGGCAAGAGGCAGCGTTCCCGATTGGGTGGGGGCCAAAGCCTGTCCAACCGACCTTCAGGACACGAAGCATCGCTTCCTTCCCTGACTCCTGCATCTGCGGCGCCTCAGCACCTAATCCAGCCCCTTCTCTGTGAAGACCTGACTTCACTGGCTTGTTAGGCTTTGCCCGCTTTTTTGGACAAGCGGTCTTTTAAAGGCAGTCACTCCCTCTTGCTTTTTCTGCTGGATGGTCGAAGGGACAGGAGGGAATCTGGGGCAGATGCACATGGACGGCGGCCCCGTGCTCACCCTGACCCCTGCCTCACCTCTGCGTGCTCCTTCCGAGGAATGCAGCCCCCTCCTTGCTGTGTGCCAGGCACCTGCTCCCTCCTGCTGGCCCTGCCCAGTGGATGCCCGGACGGCTGCTGGGGCTCACCCGCAGTGGAGGGGCTTCTCGCCCTGCTGGGAACCCCCTCAGCCTGCTGTGCCTGGAAACCCCTGTCAGGCCCTCTGAGCTCCAGCCTGTGACCCGTGGGGCCTGGCCCACTCAGTCCTGCTCAGTGGCAGGGCTCCTCTGTCCCCCGACAGCTGCCTGGGCCTCAAGGTGACCAGCTCGTGCCAGCAAGGCCTTGAGGAGCTGTGTCCAGAGCAGAGAGCCCTGCTAGTGTGAGGCGGCGGCCCACCCCGCCCTCGTTGGCCCAGGCCTCTCTTCTGTAGGGAGGAGGGGGTGGGGGCTCCCAGGCACTCCCAGTCCCCCAGTGCTGATTGGGCTTTCCTAATTATGAGAGCTTTGTATTTCCTTCTGCTCAAAGCAGCGATCCTCTTCAGGCCTGAACCAGCTGCGCATTTCTCACACGGTCTTCCAGCTCCAGACTGGGTGCACGTGGCACGTCTGCCATAGGGTGGTGGGGAAGCAGGGGGGCCCCTTGGCAGCTGCGTCATCAGCCAGCGTGGGCCAGTGCGAATGAGTGCGGGGAGCTCTGCTGCTCCTCCTGGCCACTCAGAGCCCAGACCCCAGCCCGTGGGGTCCTGGTGATGCTCACGGGCCCTGCACCTGAGCCCGTCCGGGCCTGGACGCTCGCTCCCAGTACAGCCTGGGCCCCTGTCCTCTGTCCTCTCACTGGGAGAATGCTGCCGGGCCCCAGGCAGCGGGTCAAGGATGAGGCAGCTCAGCCCACACCCCTTCCCACAGGTTGGACCTCACACATCCAGGGGTGACTCCAGACCACACGAGGACGACAGAGGACAGCACGTGACCCCCCCACTGCCATGGCCCTCACCCCCTCACCCATGAGGCCCCTGCCTGCAGAAGCCCTCTCTTGGGGCCCTGGACTCCTCACCCTTCCCCCACACCTGGCTCTCCCCTCCCCCCCAGCTCCCCCCTGCTCGCCCTCACCAGTAATTCCTGCTCCCCACACAGTTGTTGAGCCATTTGCAGTGATGGTCAAAGCCAGAGACACACTTGTTGCAGGCGCTACAGTGTTTGGCCTTCGAGCTCCTGGAAGGGAAGGGAGAATTGAGGACCACCAGCCTGTTGGCAGCGTGTGCGGGAGGATGACAGGGTCGAAGCCCCCGCCTGCCTGTCGGGGGGAGGCGGGCAGCAGGGAGCACCAGGCTCCAGGTGGGGTGGCCTCCCCTGGCCACGCCTGCCACATGGTGCCAGGGATCGAGCTGGGAAGCCGGGCTCAGATCCCACCCTGAGCCACGGGTCTCCCTCCCAGGCCGCCCACGGAAGCCGTGACCAGCCCGGGCGGAGATCTGATAGGGGTGTCTGGATCGGTGGGGGGCCCCATGTGTCTGAGGGCCACGGCTCCTCGTTCAAGGAGAGCAGTGCCAGCCAGCCGACGGGAAACCGAGGTACCGCCTGCCCCCACACCCGGGGCACTCACACGGTGACCTCACACAGGTGGCAATACTGGTTCTGGATCACGTGTGCATGTTTGGACCGGTCGAAGGTCGGCATAGGCTTGGAGTAGTTCTTCTTGAACTGCACGTTGGCTTCGGCCGGGTCGATAGAAACTGCAATCAAGTGGACTAAGAAGTGGAGAAAGAAGAGCCCGCCATTCACCTGGGGAAGAGGCGTCAAGGAACACGCAGCCAGACCTGGACAACACGGCGAGGGTGCCCACTCAGGGTGGCTGCCGGTCAGCGCCACGGGAGCAGTGCGCCTGGCCAAGGGCCGAGTCCCAGGACGGTCCGTTTACACCCCCGCGGCCGACAGAGCGAGCCCCCCATTCCTTCCTCCACGAGAGACGACGCTCGCTCGCACTGGAGATAGGCTTTCCCCGCTGGAAGCAGGGCCCTGGAGGCACCTGCCGGGGGCCTGAGGGTCAGTAGGGGGTGGGCACCATGCTGGGTGCCGAAGGAGGTATGGGGGTTCCTCGGGCAGCTCCAAGAGTAGGTGTGGGGTTAGGAGGCAGGCGTGTCGTCAAGAAACGAAGGTGGGGAGGAAGGGCTCCCACACCCAGTCTCTATGGGGCGCCTCCGTCTCTTCTTGTCTTCCCTGCCCCTAGCCCCTCCGGCTCTCCAGCACCCACGCCCTCCATGGCATCCAGGGTAAAACCAGGCCCTGGGATCTCACCCTCTCCTCCTCCTCCACCTCGGGACCAACACACCGTCCCCATGGAAACCAAACAGAAGAGGTGGAGGCCGCCTCCCTGTCAGCCCTGCCCTGCTTCCCCAGACTGGCTCTGAGCGGGAGGGCTCAGGGTTACAGGCCGGGCTCCAGGGTGTGGTGGGGGAAATGACTGGCCGTGTGCACAATGCTCTGCCGTGATTTTAGGGGGTTGCAGGCTCTGAGCAGGGGCTAGGGTCATAGCTCCGTTCTGCGGGCAGCCCCCAGGGGGTCCTTCTCATGCTCCACCACTGCTGTGGTCCGGGGTCTGCCGCCCACCCGGCAACAGCGCTTGGCCTCCGCATGGGCCTGCCTCCGTGAAGTCCACTGCACAACAAGCCTGAGTGCTTCTGGCCAGACCTGCTCATGGCCCCTCGTCCTCTAGCCTCCAGGCACCAGTGTAGACCCAGGGCTCTGGGTGCCAGACGTGGGCACAGAGGCGATGGGGAGCCAGCCCTGCTGGGGGAGCATGGCTGTCAGGAGGGTGGGCGAGAATGAGCGAGAGGCTGGTGCCCAGGGGCAGGTGGAGGGGCAGCTGAGAACCAGCCAGGCCCTGGGAGACCTGCAGGAGGAAGGGACTGACCAGATCCCTCAGGGCCATGGAGGGGGTGCAGAGACACCAAGGCCCTTCGTGTGGCCACCAGACCCTGCAGGGCTGGCTAGGGCGGGAGCCTGCCCTACCCTGCTGCTGAGCAGACCACAGCCCTGTTCCATGCAGGGTGTGGGGCAGCTGGCGGGTGGTCAGGGGCTGGGCCGGGCTTCACGGTCACAGCTGGAGACACCAGCATGGTGCTGGCTTGCCTGTCTCTCTGCACCTGCTCCCTGAAGCCATGTTTGTGTGGTTACCGGGGCAACAGGAGCCCGTCCTGAGCTGCAGGCCCAGGACGATAAGATGCAGCAGGAAGTCCAACTGTGGCCCAGGTGCGGCCCCTTCCTCCGCCTGCCTCAGAAACGGGCGGGCAAGGTGCACAGGAGGGCAGCCAGGGCTGGGATGTGTGCTCGAAGCCCTTTGCCCCTGGCTACACTCGGCTTGCACGAGACCATCGCCCAGGAGACAGTGCGGGGACAGCTCGGCCCACACTCTGACCCTCAAAGTGCAGGCGCCCCAGGCACCTGACCTGAGTCGCTGGGCCAGCCATACAGAGCTGCCTGCCGCCAATTCCCCCAGATGTCTGAGCCCTGCAGGGGCCCCTGCCAGGCCGCCCCCAGAACCTGTCCCCCAGGAACAAAGGGGTGTGGCTTCCAGCCCCCCCATGCTGTAGGTCAAGTCCCCCCACAGCCTCCTCGAGCATGAAGCTGTCCAAGCAAGAACACAGCCCACCAGCTTGTCTGACCTAACGCCGCCCAGCACTCAAGGAGCTGACCCCAGGTCACCCACAGGAATGATATGGACCAGCAAAAGGCGCCCCATTCTGCCTGGCCATTACTGGGTCAGCCACACGTTCTAGATGTCAATGAGCATGGGCTGAGCCCCAAAAGTGTCACAGGGTGCGTGGGTTCCCGCTCTCACTTTCAAGTGCCATCTTCTCACAAGAGTGTCTCAGTTTCCCGTGAATAACAAAAAGCAAAAGGAACAGGGTAGGAGGTCTCCCTCAGTAAGCAGGAGGCCCTGCCCCAGAGGCCACGGTCCCCTAGCAACAATCTGTGTTTGGTAAACAGGCGCGGGCGCAGCCCAGGACACAGGCCCTCCCGTCCTTCCGGTTCTGCAGCAGGAAGAGGTGAGGCGCCCCCAGAGCCCCCACTGCCCCAGTCACGTCTGCCTCTTGCCAGACCTGGAGTCAGAGCGGGGATGTCAGTGGCACGGTCCTGGCAGCTCCCCGGGGGCCTCTCGGCCCAGCCACACCACCGGCCCTCAGCCTAAGTCACGTCCCATCAGACGCCAGCCCCTCTGCACCGTGGACCCTACGGGCCAGGGATGGAGCTGCTTCCCTTTGCAGGATGGCGGGGGAAGCTCAGACCCAGAGGGTCAGCCAAGAACCCCTGGGTCGCCTCTTGTGCTGAGGCTGCGGGAGGCTGCAGCCCGGCCCAGCCCGCCTCCTTGGGGCTGCAGCCTGCCCCTGCAGGCACCGAAGGACACCGGCGCCCCCCAGCGGCCAGAGCACAGTGCCCAGGCGGCTGCAGGGGCCTGGGACGTCGCCTGCCCTAGTGGGGGCTGGGCAGAGAGAGACCCTGTCCCAGGGCAGCCTGAGTCCTGGACGCCTGTCACGCAGGCAAGAATCCCTCACTGGGGGCTGGTGCCAGGGGCAGCGCAGACCATCACTGGGCTCCGCTGCCAGGGGCAGCTCATACTGGGCCCCAAGCCCAAGCCCCCTCTGGGCCCGAAAGCAGGTGAGTCCCCCGGGGGACCCCTGGACAAAGAACACGGGCAGCTCAAAAAGGCCCCCCAAACAGGCTGAGCTACGGTCAAGGGCCAACGAAGGTGAGGATTTTAACCCAGCAGGTGAGCAAACCACAGTCAGGATCAGGATACAGACAAGGAGGGACCGCAGGAGGCAGGAGAGCCCGCCCACACCCGCGGGCTTCCGGGGCTCCGTTCCCGCTGCCGCTAGCTTGCGGGCGGTGCATCTCCTGCACAAGGTCTCCTGAGCACACGGTCGGAGTGGCAAAATGGAGACCTCACTGTTTCACAAGCCACAGCGAGAGGGTGCCTCCGACGGGGAGGGCCAGGCCCAGCTGCAGGCTGCCCCGGCTGTGGGGAGGGCGCCCACCGCGGGGCAGGGCACTGGTGGACGCTGCGCTGGGCCCGAGACAGGAGACCCATCACCGCATGCCCAGTGTGAACTGTGACTGGATTCTGGGCTAAAAACCCCTGACAAAGCATGTTTTGAGGACCCCTGGAGAAATTTTAAGATGGGCTGGCTGTGAGATGGTACGGTCTCTGTGCCCATCTTGCTGGTTGTGAAAGACACAAGTACATGGGCCCCGCCTCACGCCCCCACCTCACCACAGGCCTGGAGGTGGGGTGACCGTGCCCAGGGCACGCAGGACCCATGTTCCCCGATGCCACTCCTGTGGACCACTCTGTGGGCCCCATGGGGGCAGGCCGGCCAGGTTGGGGGCCGCGTGGTGCTGGGGAGGCAGCGGGCTTGCATATCAGGCCATGGTGGATGCCGAGGCTCACTGGTGGGGTCTGCCAGCATGGCCCCTAGACACGGATGCACCGGTGGAACTGGATCCACCACCCACAGGGTAAGGCGTGAGGAGGGACCAAGGCGGGCGATGCCCGTGTGGCTGGGGGCAGGGCCAGCACCGTGGAGCCTGCCTGACAGCCCCATGTGCACCCACGGCCCCAGCGTCTGCCCACCTGGAGCTACTCTCCAGGGGTCCTAGCGGCTGGCAGGCTCACACTCTCTGCCAGGTCCGGCCACCACCTACCATATGTCGCAAGAGGGGCCAAACAAGAAAGCATGGGGACAAGCGGCTGAAGACAGGCCACTGTTATAATTAGTGTCTCTCTCTAAACACACCCCCTTGGACCCCTGGCGTGGCTCCCCCACCCCCGGCCAGCTGGATCCAGCCCACTGTGGACCTGCGGATGGACCCTGAGACTGAAACACCATGCACGGCCCTGGGACACACCCTTCAGCCTCTGAGCCAGACAGGCTGCTCGAATGCGAGGAAAAAATCCTTCTTCCCAAGCATCTGTGTGTGCGACCACATGCGTGGCCGTTGCGGGACTGTGTCCGTTTGTCTGCATGTCTGCCCTGGCCATGTGACTCCTTCCTGTGTCCTCAGGGCTCTCCACCCCACCCCAGGGTCCCTCTGCCCCTCCCCACCAGGCGCATTCTCCCGGAACTGATGGCGGGCAAGCCTGTGCTTTTTAGCAAGGACACTGAGCCAGGGAGCCACATGTAGGATATCAACGGGTTGCTGTGGCCACGGTGGGTGTTTGGGGTGAAGAGGGGGGAGCGGGGTCAGAGGGCAAGGGGCTGCACCTGTGGGTGACTTGGTGCAGAGGATGGAGCGGCAAGGGGGACGGGAAGGCGTGGCGTGCCCCTGAGCCAGCTCTGGGGGCCGGCCCTCCGGGAGCCTCCCTCGGACAGCAGGCCCTGCTCCCACAGTAAAGGATACGCCGTAGGCAATGTACTTCCAGTTACGTGGCAGGAAGGGAATGAAGATGCCGAAGTTGGCAATGGCCATGATGAGGAGTGTGACCCAGGCCACCGCCTGGAAGGAGTGCAGGGGCCTCGACCAGCCATTCACTCGGGACAGGCGGGGGGGTGAAGCCTGCTTGGTCCCGGCTTCTGGGACAACCCGTCTCCAGCTTCTGTTGCACAAACCCATCTGCAAGACGGGAGGGGGACAGACAGGCCGTGTGTGGACCCTCCCACAGCCTGTGTGGCAAGGGGACCCCAGGGCTGCCCACCTCTGGAGGCGGATGGCAGGTGGGGGGCCCTCCAGGGTCCAGGGGAGTCCTGTGTCTGCCCAGGCCACAGCAGTGATGCAACACTCTTGGAGGGTGTGAGGCCCACAGGGCCGAGGACCCGGGAGAGGCGCCGCCAGGACCCCAGCGCGGGCATGGCCGTGACCACCTCCAGTTGAGTGCGGGCTTTGTTTACAAATGGGCACTGACTCATCAGAAGACCTGTCACATGCAGGAAGAAGACCCCCATCAGGCCCTCATCCCTGGGGAAACAGAGGGGAAGTTGGCAGGAAAAGCAGCCCCTCGCTGTGTGACCATTTATGTGCCTGAAATCCTCAGAGAACCTTCCTACAATTCTCCCTTAAGGACAGAACTAGATGCCACATGCCCAGAAATGAAGACCTGCGGGCTGTGGGGCTTCTGGGGCCTCCAGGTGCTCTGGGGTCACCAGTGCCGAAGCGAGGGGCTGGGAGGGAGCCATGGCCACTTCTGGCCAGGCGGCAGTGAGGGAATGGGTGAGCGGCACATCACAGCCACGGCGGGTGGAGGCCTGAGGGTCCCGGGGACTTGGCCACAGGAGGGCAGATTTCGGCTGCTCTCTACAGGCTGGCCGCTCCGTTCTCGGGATGTGGGGCCAGGCAGGGCTTCCCTGGTCAGTAAGACTCCTGGGGGCCCGCAGAGAGCATCCCCCATGGACAGCAAGGCCAGCGCAGTGGGGACTGGGGCAGGGAAAGCACCCTGCATTACAACGTGATTCCCGAGCAAAAGCAACATTCAGATGGAAGCGTGAACCAACAGAAAGGACACTGCCAAGAATCAAACCCCCAGGAAGGTCGGATCGGGGGCACGCGTGGACCTCAGGGCGGGGAAGCAAAGCAGTGACCCTGAGGAAGAAATCCTAAGTGACGGGACAACAGAGGGAGAGACCACTTATCTTGTGGGAGGAGCAAGATGCAAGGACGCGCGTCAGCCCCAGGGCCGCCCACGCTGGCAAGGATAGGGGCGCGACTCCACCCTGCAGGGGTTCCCAGGACGCAAAGGTCACCATGATCATGTGTGGAAACCCCAAAGTTCAACTGGCATCAGAGTTTGTACGATTTAAAGGAGCGATTCTTCAGGTTCTGAGAGTAGTTGGAAGCTAAACAGCCCTGGTGTCACGAGAGCACGGGGGCCAAGCGTGAGGCCTGTGGGGACACCGAGTCCCTGCTCCTCTGGGGGCTCCGGGAAGCTCCCCCGCGTCGCACCTGCAAGTGGCCCTGAGAAGTCGGGAGGCACCAAGGGCAGAACTCCATGGTGGGCAAGCGCATCCTAGTTACCGCAGGGGCCGCGTCTCATAGGCGTGAGGACGGCACGTGGGTCACCCCCGCCCAGGCCCACGGTCCGAGTGGCAGCAGGAGGTGCACACTTACCCACAGTCACGGGGGCCAGCGGGGCGGGCGTGGCTGAAGTCTGTCCCCGCAGGCTCCGCGGCTGCGCGGGCCCTGGTGGATGAGGGGTCCTGGAGAGAGCACACGCAGGTGGCAGCCTCGCCCGCCCCCCCCACCCGGTGGCAGGCGCTTCGCTCACACACCTCCATTCACCAAAACCACGTGTTCCCCTCACCGAGTCTGAAGTATGGCCTGAGGGAAAGCGCGAATCTTCTGGCTCGATCCTTAGCTCTTGGGGGAGCCCATCGGTTCAAAACCCGCAACCAAACACTAGGCTCCCAACAAATGTGGCGCTTCCTGTCTCCTTCTGGGGCGAAATGGGCACAGTTAATGCAGGCTCCATGTGTGGACAAGACACCGTGGAGACAACACCTTCCCCAGACACGCACACACCACGCACTCACACACACCACATGCACCACACATGTAACCACATGCGCACCCCACACACAACATGCACACCACACGCACCACACAACGCACACAGCGTTTCTGGACCCATTCCTCATTCTCGACCTTTCTTGGGCTATCTCCTTGGCCTGGACCCGCCCCCCGCCCCCCCCACTAACAGCCTCTAGAGCCTGTCCTGCTGTCACTCTCTCTGGATGACCTCCCTGACACGCCTGTCCAGTCTGAGCTGGGCCCCCACTTACTCCTTCTGTAACTGCTGAAGCTGGTCCTCTGGACTGTCTGCAGGACGGGAGCAACGTCATCCCCTACTGGGCAGATGAGGCAGTGGGTTCGGGAAGTCAGCCCTGGTGGGGCCCGGGTCCCCTCTGAGCCCAAGTTTGGTCCCTCACGTTTGTGCTCTGTCATCCCTAAGGGTTCTAGCCCTTGTTTTGGTGCAAGGTGTGCTGGTGCCGCGATGCTCCCACGAGGCCGTTGTCACCTCCACGACCCCAGCACAAGCATGGCCAACTCGCAGGAGCTTTGTGCAGGGACCACTCTCCTGGCCCCACGCGGCTGCAGACGGTCCCTCCTCCTCCTGCCTGCCCTACCATGCTCCCGAGAACCTGGAGTCCTGGGCACCCCCACCTGCATATCTAGGACACAACTGTGCACACGTGACCTTCTGAACCCCATCGCCTGACACAGGTCCTCACAGCTTCTGAATCACTGTTTTGCTCTCTGTCCCGCTTCGGATGCACAGAGGTTATGCCTGCGAGTCCCCTGGTCGCACCAGAAGCAGAAGGCACCCACCTCCCTGGGAGTCAGAGCCTGCTCTCCCCACCCGATCACTGGTCCAGGCTGGACAGAAAGGCATGGGCCTCTCTCTCGACCCAGACCCAAGTGAGGACCCCTGGTTGCCACGGCAGTGATGGAACCCAAGGAGGTGCCTCATAAAGCCAGGGCTGCCCCCCCAAGCCCCCGCTGCCTGCTGGGGGGAGGGGTGGGATGCAGAGAAGGCACGGGGGTCCCAGACAGGCCGGGCTGTGGGCAGCACCCCCATATACGGTCCCAAGTTCTGACTACACCACCTCCCATGGCAGCCCCTCGGCGAACCAGCGGAAGACTCCTGGCCCCCAACCTCTGCTTCAGAGGCCGGGGCATCGATCTCAAGGTTCCTCATGACACTTGACTTGTTGGCCAAGTCTGCTCCGGGGACCCACGCTCGCATGCTCCGTCTAGGTCGGGTGGGACAGCAGTGTCCAAAGTCTGCCCTTCAGGAGCTGCAGAAGGGCCAGGGCAGGAGAAGAGGCAGGGGTGAAGCGCATATGGACAGTGTGCCGGGAAGGGGTCTCTCCCAAGGATGGCTCAGCAGCCCCTTTCCCTGCCTCTCCCTCCCCTCAGGGTCTCAACTGTCAAGTGCAGGACATTTCCGGTGCCCATTTGGGCCCAAGAACCCCCACATGGCCTTCTCAGATCCCGATCGCCTCCTTGGTGGGGGGACATACACCTCCCTGGGGAAGCCACCCAAGCCAGGTGGGTTGAGCCACCTCCGTGTGCACTGTGTGTGGCACCTGCGGTGGCCAGGGGCTCTGCCTCCGACCAGGCAGCTGGGCCGGGCCCAAGATGAAGAGAAACCAGCGGGCAGGGGCCGGGGGTCAGTTTGGAGCAGCCAAGAGAGCCCTCCTGGGGAGACTGGGGACCTCTGTGCTGGGCGGGGAGCTGGTCCACGTGGCTGGTGCCGAGGCCTACTTCATGTCTGGGTCAGTTCTGCTCCACCCAGCCTGCTGTCCAGCCCAACATGTCCCAGGAGATCTCAAGGAGCAAAGCATCCATGGGGATGACAGGGACGCTGATCCTGGCAGCCTGGTCTGCCCACAGGTGGGCAGCAGGAGACAGGGCCCCAGACAAGGGGCCCCAAGGAGTGAGGGGGCTGGAGGCCGAGGAGCCAGGCAGTGGCGAGAGTGGCCGCCTCCTGTGGACCCTGCACACAAGCACCTGCGCGTGGGCAGGACGGGGCTGGCACCGGTGGGCCACAGGGCGCTGACCTTCACCCGGAACCATGTCCCTGTGAGGTAGGAGCCACAGACTCTGCAGCTGGGCTGCTGGCATCCACTGTCCACTGTCCGCCAGGCCAATGCGCCACCAGAGAGGCCCAGGGCAGACGACCAGGCTGCCTGACCACGGTCTCAGGGCCCCAAGAGCCCAGCCACTGGTACAGCAGAGGCTGTGGACAGCGGGGACTGAACACAAAGCCAGGGGCCCTGGAAAGATTGCTGTCCTTCTGCGGCACGCTCACCTTCGAAAGGCCTTGTCTCGGACAACATGTGCGAGCGTTGGCAACAAGGCCACAGTCCCTGTTCGCAGCGAAGCATCGCTTGAGACGCTGGAAGGTGTCTTTACAGAGCTTCAGAGTGCTTTTCGGTAAACGAAGATGAGCGACATCTCCACCTCCTGCACGGAACATGCTTGTCCAGATACACCTGCACAGGTGGCCACATGGGAGGGGGGAGCCCTGTGACCTCAACACCCGGTGCCCCGCAGCTCAGCAGACCCTGAAGGAGGCCGCTGAGGAGTGGGGCAGCGGAGGCACTACCCCAGGGCGCCCCGAGTCTGCAGACAGCAGACCCAGAGCCACGACCACCGCAGCCACTCACGCCTTTGAGAAATATCCTTCCCTCAGAGACACCTCTGCTCCATGAAAATAACTTTAGAAGCTACAAACATCAGGGCCTATTCGCCACAAAAACATTAAGAAACAGATGTAAAACCAGAGCATGCAAAGCCATAAGCCCCCTGCCCAGGGCAACCAGGACCTTCCCCACGCATAGCTGCATGCCCAGAAAGTCAAACTTTCTCTTGTTCCCTCAGCAGCCGTGCCCACATTGTTTTTATGGAGCGCAGAGCACTCCCCAGTACGATTATCACTCTGCCTGACAGCGAGGTCACTCACGACCTTCATCATGAGTGGTGCTTCTCTAAGCAATCCCCTGTGCACACAACTGAGATGCCCCACCCTGCAAGGTGAACACTGTGGGGGAGGTGGGGAACAACGCAGAGTGCAGGATATAGGTAGGGCGCAGGCACTCACATGTACACATGCACTAACACACACACACCTACACACGTACTGACACGAATGTGCACGCACACATGTGCACCAAAATTACACACACGTGCCCGGACGTAAACGTGCATGCTCGCGCTCACAGGTGTACCCACGTGCATGAACACAAATTCACATAGGAGCCCACACATGCACACACACTAACGTGCGCAAACTCTCCCCATCGCTGGTCTTGCTCTGAGTGTAGCTCTCAGCAGAAAGAGAGCAGGAAGATGAATCCCCGTCGTCCAGCATTGTCCTCCCAGACAGCCCCTCTCTCTGGCACGTCGACAGTGTGGTTGAGGCACCGTGGTCCTGCTGTGCGGTCTGTGGCCAATCCCTGGCTAGCGTGGCTCTGAGGGACACTCCCCCTACCTTGGGCACCTGCTCACTCTGAGCACCGAGAGCATCCGTGGGCTATGACCGGGATCCTGCTGGCTTCCTTGAGCAGAAGGCCCAGTGAGACAACCCAAGCCCCTGGACCCGCTTCATGGCTGTGACATACCCAGGAGCAGCCTGAGCCCTGATGGGGTCTGTGGCAAGGGTAGGGGGTCCCTGGACCCATACTGACACACCAACACTGTGCTGAGGGAAGGGAGCCAAACACAAAAGGCCACGTAGTGTAAGACTCCACTACAACAAGATGCTCAGAACAGGAAGATCCATGGATGCCAAAAACAGAGTGGTTACCAGGGGCTCCAGGGGGGACTGAGGGGCGCTGCTAATGGGGACTGGGTTTCCTTTCGGGGTGATGGAAATATTCCAGAGTTCAACAAAAGTGTTGGTTGCACAAAACTGTGAATGCACCAAATGCCACTCAGTTGCATACTTTAAAGCAGTCAGTGGTTAATTTCAGATCATGTTACCTTCACTGAAATAAAGATTGGTTGGAGGGCCCTCCTGTCCTCAGACGCCCCCCTGGTCTTCCCTGTCGCCGGGTATGTGGCCTTCTGAGTGGCAGCCCCTGGCTCTGCAGAGGCCGTGCCCAGAGCAGGGTCTCCAAGCCGCCCAACCCGATCTGCCCGTCTGCAGTACAGGCTTGTGATCAGGAGGCAGCAGCACCTAAAGCTGCCGGCACATCTGTGGGGCCCTCGAGCCGGAGACCACTCCCTTCGGGTGGGTCTGGGGCTCCACGGCTCAGTCTCAGCGGGTCCTGCAAACATGTGCCACGTCCATGTCACAGAGGTATGGCTGCGAACTCCAGCTGGGGGCCAAGGAGAAACGGGGGCTCAGCAAGGCAACTCCAGCACCAGAACCCAGGGCCACACCCTGCCCAGAACCTCACCTTCGGAGCCCTGGGCGGGGCAGAACACACCCCCATGCCACGGTGGGAAGTAAGAGACGCCGCCACCTGACCTCCCGGCAGCTGGGGCGCTGGGGGCAGGTCTGCAGCCGGACTGGGGGCTTCACCCTGGCAGGGGGCTCACTCCTCTGCCGTCGCTGGCTTGCTTGTGCAACACTGGGAGACCTCTGACATCCGCGAGGGGCCCTGCACACCCGGCAGGCAGTGGCCTCGTGGCCTGGGGCACGTTGCACTGCCCACTGCCTCAGGTCCACATTCTCTCCCAGGACTGACTCCACCCCAGGACATAACAGAGCCCCTAATTTTGTTTTCTAAAAAAGGAACACAGCAGAACTTGTGCAGGGTGAGTAAAGTCGGACGTCACTGCAGGGGGAGACCTGGGCCAGACGCAGAGGAGAGGGGAGGTGAGCATCACGAACAGACATGTCGACCTCTCCTGAAAAAGGTTTTC